AGAAGAGAAAGTATAACCTCACTCTAAGTTTCTTGCTTCATTTTGATAGAATTGAAAAGCACAGCAGAATAACATAACAATAAGATAAATCACACTTGGTTTTTGGTTGACAGGTTCGCATGATCATTAGCAGAATTACAGTTACTGTGACCTACCTGGAACATGGGGTATGTAAGAAAGGTCTCCAGCATTCTCCCCTCGCAGGCTGCATTGGACTCATACTGTTTAAGCAGCTTGTCAAAGTCCCGGTTCTGTTTGCAGTTGGCTAGAACCTGCAGGCTGTATTGATGGTTCCGTACAAACTCCTGGTAGATGTTCAGCATAGGTAGTAGGATGTCAAACAGATCAGCTGTAAACAACAAACATAAAACACACTATATCTGTTCAGACACCGATGCTAATATCATACACACATAATCATTTTCGAACGAACAAACAGTGAAAGCCTGGCGTATTAGCTCAGTATTATTGAAATTAATTGTGACAATCATATTCGTAATACAGACATTTTCTTCTTCACAGAGACAATGAAATATGCATTTCACAATTTACAGTGTAGGAGGCAAAGAGAAGTCTGTAGACAGCATAGTGAATGCAAACACTGCAACACTACCCACCTAGAACTAACGTTGGCCAGTTGGCTATTCTTGCTTTGAGGCCTTGGTGGAATATTTCATGAAGAAACATAATTGTCTCACTACAGAAATACAGATAAATAATTAAAAAACAATAGTACAATGGTACAAAGACCAATAGTACAATGATACAAAGTTAACTATAACTACAAACTTCATATTATTATTATGTAACTGAAACATTAAATATTGCCACAAATCATATAGTTCTTCAAATGTAGTAATATCAATTGAAAACACCCAATTTAAATGTTTTGCCTTGAAACACATTTTTACTCTACAGATTCAAAGATATTTTCAGTTTTAGAAGCAAAACATATCAGTATTAGCAAGTGAAAGATGTCTCACAGAGGCACACACAGTTGTCACGGCCTCACCTGTTGAGAAAGATGCTGCTTACGTCATCATGGCTGATGGGCGGCTTCTTGGAGCTTGCCGCCATGCGAAGCGGCCGCAGGAAGCAGTTGACTAGGATGGAGAGCTGGTGGACGTATTCTGTTTCGGCTTCCACCATGTTGAAGACGATCTGATTCCTCTTTCTCATGCTCTCTGCATGGGGAGAGCAGATATAGTCCTGAACAATGATCTTCCACTTCCGTCTACAAAGCCAGCCACGCATGAAGCTCTGGACCTGCATGGAGACAGCAGAAGAAAGGCCCATGGCTGCATTAAGAGCAAATAAGCAGCAGGATGCATGGGCAACGAAACCACAGAGTAACGCCGCAGTACCAAAGCAAACAATTGCACGGTAATGCACTGTAATGTAAAGCCAAGTTGTAGTAGTGTTCATACCAAACTGCCCTGCTTATAACAGGTGTAATCACACAAAGGGCTGAAAATACAATTCATGTCTTATTAATAACATGCAACACAAAGAAATGCTGTTATATATATATATATATATATATATAGAGAGAGAGAGAGAGAGAGAAAAAGATCATTAAAATGAACTTTAAACTTTAGTTTATATGGCCCGTATGTATGGTTGCTAGCAGTTACAATATATTGTTTGACTGCAAGGTCAGAATAAAATCTGCAGTCTTTCGATAAACACAAAGAACACCTTGTGGTACCTTTTTTATCTTTTTTATATCTGGGTCTTCCTCCTTTTGACATATCCGATAAGGCCGCATTCTCTCCTTGGTCTTATTCAAGGCGATGATCTACAGAGGAAGTGGCATGCTATTAAAAGTGTGTTAAGGCAGAAAATACAATAAATCATTTCCAAATATCAGTATTTTCTTAAGAATATTATCTTAATTGATAAAATACAGAAATACAAGAATGAAACAAGTAATGCATTGCACGTTTTGCACAAGATATTGAAGTTTTGGTTAAAGAAGGATCTAAAAAAAAAAATCACATTGCCTGTGTTCCAAAAAGATCTATATAGAGATGCCCCAATTAGTGAAGTATTCTGCTCTCACAATGTTGAAGTTTCAGAGCGATGCTAATGCTAGTTATTCATACCAGTAATATCAGATGAGGATAACAGCACTTAACCAGCCTAAACAGAAGGTTTTGCAATTCTTTACACGCAAACTCAAAACACGCCACCAACAAAACTAAGAAAACAAGAAAAGGTAGCATCCACAGTGTTCTTTACGTTGCCTCTTTGTATTTTTTAAATTTGTATACATGGAAAAAACAATACAGGCTGGTTTATATGTGCAGTAACCAATAGACATCACTCTAAAGAGCATGGTAAAACCACAGTTTACAACACTAAATACTGTAGACATCTTCCTGTCCATGCTAATTGCAGGAATGTATTAAGCTGATTCTCCTCAAAAGGTTATTTATTAGTACGACCTTGAGTCAATCATCTCTTTCTTCATGTTCCTCACGTTTGTCTGTCTGCATGTATCTCACTCTGGACAGCTAAAAAAGACACTGACCTTTTCTACATAAGATTTGATATATTACTGAAAATAAAATCCATATAACTCCAGGACCTCTAAATCCATGTAGGTCTTCTGACCTTCTCAAGCCAATAATAATGTTGACACCAGTCCTACAAACCGTAATGTAGCCCACAGGTGGCTGTACAATAAAATGCTCATTACTAACACATCCTCCAGGGTAAACCAACAAAAACGTACACACTGACAAGAATACAGAATGTACATCAACCTCAATAAATACTGAATTAAAATCTAAATTCCAAGGTAATAAATATAGGGCATTGTAACTGCTCTACCGACATTAAACACTTTGGGGTCGATTCCCCCATGAACTTAAGACAAAAAAAAATTGTGTACCTACGTGGTTTTTTGATTTAAGCATATTCTCCCATCAACTTTGGGGCGGAACATTAAAATATGGACATGTCACATGTAAATGACCCTAAAGTGCATTCTGCCACTGACTTAAGTGCACTTAAGTGCGTTGTAATATATGGCTAATGATCCCTCAAACATTTTCCCGAAATAGGCCTTACCATTGCCGATTTAAGACTAAATAACAGAAAACTAGATGTTAAAATGTTAAATTTTTACATCTTTCTATTTAACTGCAAGTACCTCACAACAGACTATCAATTAGTATAAGATGTTGTTTGAATTGAATTCAATGATTGAATTGTTAATTGTTTTACTCCACAACCAATTAACTATAGACTGACATTTTACACAGCAGAATAATTTAAGTCTGTTGTCAAACTAATTTTATAAATAGAGAAACTTGATATGTCATGTTACGGTAATGAGTTTGTAATAATGATTTCTATTGTGTTTCAGAATGAATCCATATACTGCATTCAGAACAATTCTGTAAACAAGCAAATATGCCTAACCAACAGATATTTTGTAAATGTCAGAATTATCAGGAACATAGACTGAAAGTTTAGAATGCATTGCTGATAAAACAATGATGCAATCAACTGCATAGTCCAGACAAGCTTATATGCTGCACCATAGGTTGTGATGTATTATTTCAAACCAATTGTAAGTCACTGTCACTAAGAACTCACAAATCTTTCCCATTAAGCTCAGAATGGTTACTAATTAAGCAAGTGTCCTGGTCAGGTAGATCCTCTGAGGACCTCTGACATAGTGCATGTAAGAAATCAATGTTTGTATAAGAAAATATGGGACGAATCAGTATTCAAAATGCAGTGCTTCAGAATCCACCCAGAAACATAAGATTCATGTAGTATCAGTCACCTGAAGTACATCAAGACGAGGGAGTCTCTGTCTGTCCCACTCTTGCGTGAGGGCAAGTAGGCATACAAGCAATGCACCTAAGGATTGCGAGGACACACTACTTCCTTTTACCTATTTTTTACTAATTCTAATTGAAAGAATTATTTTTTAATCAACCAGCCATTTACCCTGATTGATTTGCCTGCTATGCTTGTTGGCAAGTCAGATGTCACTTGAATCCAACACCACAGTAATATAGTTTGTACATATCTATATATTTCTATATACTATTGAGCTGTATATAATTCTTATATGGCTTATATGGATTATTCACATCCATTTTGGATTGCAACATTAGTTTCTAAATGTATAATACTTACAAAGTTTCATTTTGTTACATTCTGCTTTTTGAAAAATGCAATTTTGTGTTTTGCTGTATAGAGGCGTGTGACTTAATATAGCACTCCAGAGCAAGTAGATGAAAATTCACTTAAGTGCTCTTAAGTCAGTGGCAGAATTAACTTAAGGGTTATTTACATGCGACACACCTGTGTTTTGGTGTTTCTCTCTCCAGAGTGAGTAACTGTCACTCAAAGTACACTTACATCCCAGACTTAAGTCAATAAGAGAATACGCTTAAGTCAAAAAAGTGCATAGCTACACGATTTGACTCCAGTGAGCGGGAGAATCGATGCCTTACCTTTTTATTTGTCATTTTTTTTGTATTTTCATTTTGAAAAACGAAAGGGTTTCTGAGGATATCAATTAGGTTCACAATATAAATGAAATAATCCAAGATCAACATTTAGCTTGTTGCCAAAATCATAAAGGGCATCATCCCCTTTTCTTGCTTGATTAATTAATTGTACTTCTTGCATGGCCACGTCCTCTATATCAGTTTAAGTGCAGTGGCCATGTCCACGTCAATGAGGGGAGAAAATGCTTACTCAAATACGTGTGACTTTTTAGCTCATTTTTGGAATTAAGTGCTTGATGGGAGAATCGACTCATAAATAGTTAAATATTTAAAAGCTGCAGGTACATCCTGTTTGCATTGTAAAACCTACTTTCAGGAAATAAGAAGCAGATTGCTATTCCCAGTGTAATATAAGTCACATAGTCACTCATGGCAAAGACCTGAACCAGGAAGCCGCATGAGAATACAATGCACTTCCTTAAAGAATTCATATTCTTACCAATACAAAAAGCTGAAAATGTACATCAAAAAAGAAGCTTGCAATCCAGGCTGTCAGCTGATAAATTAAAATACATTCACACTCTTATGGGAAAGTCAATAAATGAGTACATTGCTTCTATTGTATCAGATATAGAAAAATGAAACATTTTATTAAACAATCATGTACGTTATTATTGGGAGCTGTTCATAAGCAATGCAAAGTCAAAGAATCATCCAGAAATGTGAATTGTTCACTGTTATGCAACAATAAATCCTACATGTTCAAGAGAACAGAGGTGCTTTTGAATGCTGCCTTACTTATTTTAGGAAAATATTGACAAGTGCTTAAAGGACTGTTTCTCCATGTTTTCATGATGTATCTCATGCTTACTGTTTAACAAATCCACACCAAATAAAATAAATTCTGCTTTGTTTAGCAATAAAATCTATTAGTATTTTACCATTAAAAAGTTATCCTTTTACCATTATTCCCACAGAACACTTCACAATCATCAAAGGGGGGAATCTCAGTATGAGAAACCAGGATAAAGGAGCTCATATCACAACGAAGAAATCTGTTTAAAAACTGAACATTGACAGGAGTCAATTGGAAATAAATATAACAGCTGTTTACAGAAAAATAAACAGATCTCTTGCAAATGAACATTACTATTAAAAAATGTGTGTGCGTGCGTGTGTGATAGAGCTATCAAAGCTAACGCATTAACTTGTGCGATTAATTTTAAAAGAATAATGCATTATTATTTTTTAATCGTGTTAATGCACACTCATCATGTTAATGCCTACCGTAGAGTGTGGGGTCAGGACAATGAATTTATTGAGTTTTCTGTACTGCTGCTCTAATTGTGTTTTTTGGCCTTTTGAGGTTACCGTAATCACTTCCATATATATATGACCAGAAGCCCAGTTTGGACAACACATGCGCAAGAACGCTCGTTTTAACCCTTTGATTTATGATGCTTGAAAAACCTCCAAAACAATAAGAAAATGACAAATCCTTTAATGGGAATATTAAGTCCTTTGCTTTTTATCACTCATTACATGACACATTACAAAACTATCTTTTAAATCGTGAATTTGACTCCATCATTGGGAGTAGCGAGCACATAAAACCTAAATTGGAGTCTTGAAATTTCAAAAACATACACATACTGTATATGTAATAAAAACCTGCTGTTTTGACATTATGCTGTGACGCTTGGTCACAGAAAGCATTCCATAATGGTGCATGACTGCAGCAAAAGTATGGAAGCTTGTCATGCTTTCCCTCTGGGGATGTGCCTTGGTTTAGGGGAGGAAGACTAAACAGTATGTTGTTAAGTATATAAAAAGACTAAAAACACAGCAAAAGATGTGGAAATGTTGCACAGAATGCAGCTGTGTGATGGCAGGCAACATGGGGTTAATTAGCCACTCACTGGTGTATTTAGAACTGGATTAAGGGGAAACTCTCAGCTTAATTCAAATGCGAATATGAAATAGACATACAGCATTTATTTAAAAAGTCTTGGCCAACCACTTCAACATAATACTCTACACTTAGACGTAGGAATAAGAACATGAGTACATTAAGCCCTCGGACATTTGCGAGGTTACATTACAGAACCCGTCACGAATGAGGAGGATTCGCAGATGTTTGGTAGAGTCACTAAAACTGGTAATATATGTTCTTATTTATATCATTTAAACCCTAAATATGCTCCCAAAACACTTTCATTTCATTTAAAAGTTAGCTTAATACATTACCTTTAAAAAAAAATGTTTGATGTAAAAATAGCGTACAGTATCGCCTAACGGATATTTGTCACACGAGCACATTTACAGTACAGTATACTAATGTTACCCCTACTAATTCATAGAACACAGTATTGGCTGCCGTTTTTTTTTTGCATTCACAATAAGGTAAAATGAGTAAATGAACGGGACTGTAAACTTATTGACAGAAATTTATCATTTTTGTGCATTAAATTTACGTTAACGTGTATTTACTAGTACAAAATAGCAAATGAACTATTTTCTAAAATTTATGTAACCATTAGCATTCCAAAGGGAATAAACTTTGTGAATGGGATTCTGACGATGGAGTTTTTGCTTTCAAATGAATCTGGGGCCTACCTCTGCTTTGAGTCTTTCAATTTCAGTATCCTGGTCCTCCAGTTGAGTCCGAAGTTGATTTGCTGCCACCTTCTCAGTCTCCACAATCTGTACCAGGTGGATGTATTTCTGCATCAGGACCTCACGTTCAATGATGATGTCAGAGTAACTGTGGGAGAAGCCACAGAGTGACCCAGCGTTAATGGCATTCAAATCACAGTGCTGTGTTTGTCAGACCAATCACTGATTCAACTCAGCTGTCAATTCCTGCTGGTGTTCCTGGTTATGCGTTACCTCTGCACTGTCATGTGTGTGCCAAAGCAACATAAAAATATGCTAATAAATGGAATTAAGTATTGATACATGATACTCAGAAGTCAAAAGAAAATATGCTTGTGTATATGACAGCATAAGACGAGAAACTTAAAGTGTTCTTGGTATGATATTTACATGGTCAATTTCCCAGTGTGGGACTGAGAACGATATATAATCATGGCTATATTAAGACGAACAGCAAAATTCTAATTGGCTGGGGGAAAAAAACAGGTAAAGTTGATATAAAAAGTACGTTGTTTCCAGATAAAAATATTGCTGCCTGATTAAAGAAATACCAGCAGATAAAAATTCTACTGATTTATACAAAAAGTTTATAAAGATTTCTGTCAAATACAAAAACAGAGTGAAAGCTTGCATTTTACAGTACATGATATTCAGCCACACAGTGTCACCTCTGTCCAGGATACCCCTCTCACACAGAGACTACCTGGCCTGCTGTATGGCCTCCACCCACTCATCGCACTCCGCCTCTTCCTCCGTCCTCAACTCCAGCGGTTTCTGCCCATCGTGGCCAAAAACAATCAGGAAGTACTGCTTTAGGAGAGAGGGAAAACAGCTGTATGTATTGTGTAAGATTACTGGTCAGGTCTAGGAATGCTTTATTTTATGCACATGTGACAGGATGTGTAGACAAAAGAATGATTTCTGTGTCTGTAAGAATTACAATGCATGGATCTTTGAGTAAAACTCTGACAATCAATTCCAACTTAGATTCCAGTATTAACAGACTAGCATTAAGAAATAATATATTATAAACAATTACATTCTTGCTTCATCAAAAGTCCATTAAAATAAAAGTAAATGACAGGTCTGAGGAAAAGTAAATAAGACCATTTTAAATATAGAAATCATATTTACAGTCTACACCTTTTCAAATATTTATTTATCTTTTCATATAAAATATAATGTATTTTTCAGCAATAACATAAATAAAAGTAAAAGTGAATGCACTCCTTGCAAAATTTTAGTTATGATAATCACCCCAGTAAAATTCCATTCCACAGTTTTCCCCAAAAGAAATCCACATCTAAATTAAATTAAGCATGACGAATTCCAAATCTCAGCAATATAAATATATGCTATATTGCCAAAAGTATTGGGGCACCCCTCCAAATCATTGAATTCAGCTGTTCCAATCACTTCCATAGCAACAGGTGCACTATGCAGACTGCTTCTACAAACATTTGTGAAAGAATCAGTCGATCTCTGGAGCTCAGTGAATTCAAGCATGGTACTATGATAGGATGCTTGTTAGATATACATACTGTATACAGTGGAGGAAATAATTGAGTGAAATAAGTATTTGAACCCCTACCAACCATTAAGAGTTCTGGCTCCCACAGAGTGGTTAGACACTCTACTCAATTAGTCACCCTCATTAAAGACACCTGTCTTAACTAGTCACCTGTATAAAAGACACCTGTCCACAGAATCAATCAATCAAGCAGACTCCAAACTCTACAACATGGGAAAGACCAAAGAGCTCTCCAAGGATGTCAGAGACAAAATTGTAGACCTGCACAAGGCTGGAATGGGCTACAAAACCATTAGCAAGTAGCTGGGAGAGAAGGTGACAACTGTTGGTGCAATTGTTTGAAAATGGAAGGAGCACAAAATGACCATCAATCGACCTCGGTCTGGGGCTCCACGCAAGATCTCACCTCGTGGGGTGTCAATGATTCTGAGAAAGGTGAGAAATCATCCTAGAACTACATAGGAGGAGTTAGTTAATGACCTCAGTAGCTGGGACCACAGTCACCAAGAAAACCATTGGAAACACATTACACCGCAATGGATTAAAATCCTGCAGTGCTCACAAGGTCCCCCTGCTCAAGAAGGCACATGTGCAGGCCCGTCTGAAGTTTGCCAATGAACACCTGAATGATTCAGAGAGTGACTGGGAGAAGGTGCTGTGGTCAGATGAGACCAAAATTGAGCTCTTTGGCATTAACTCAACTCGCCGTGTTTGGAGGAAGAAAAATGCTGCCTATGACCCCCAAAACACCGTCCCCACCGTCAAGCATGGAGGTGGAAACATTTTGCTTTGGGGGTGTTATTCTGCTAAGGGCACAGGACAACTTCACCGCATCAACGGGAAAATGGACGGAGCCATGTATCGTAAAA